TGATTTTATCTATTTTTCTTTTTTGTAAAGGAGATGAACAGGGGGGTTACAGTTACATTAAGTAATGAATACATTCCTTTTCCTTTTCCTTTTTTTTTTTTTTTTGCCAGTCCTGGGGCTTGAACTCAGTGTCTGGGCACTGTCTCTGAGCTTCTTTTGCTCAAGGCTAGCACTCTATCACTTGAGCCACAGTGCTAGTTCTGGCTTTTTCTGTTTATATGGTACCGAGGAATTGAACCGAGGGCTTCATGCATGCTAGACAAGCACTCTACCACTAAGCCACATTCCCAGCCCATGAGTACATTTCTTTTTGAACACTTAGCCCCTCCCTCATTTTCTCTCACTTTCTTCACCCCCTCCTCTCATCCCCATTATTTTCTTTTAAAATCTGGCCAACGAGTATTACCCAAAGAAATGCTATCTGCTGAGTTAAGATGGGAAATTCTGAAGAGCAGGACACCCCTCCGGGGAAAAGACAAGCTTGTCTGCACGGCTTTGCGCCAGACAGTGCACAATGGTAAGAAGGAAAACAAAAATAAGATCTCAACCTCCCAATCACATCAGGAAGACCTTCCTTTCTTTCTCTAAGGGAAACTAAGTGCTCAGGATGATGAAATTACACGATGGTTTACACGATGGTTTAAATACACCTTTATGAGCTTCCCTAAGAATCTGGTTATATAGAGTTCCAAGCTACTATTTACAAGTGAACTTTGGAAGCGGGATGTTTTCCCACTGAAAAAAAAGTCTAAAATAGCACAAATTTTTATGCATACGAAACCACTATACACCAGCAAAGAAGAAATCTAAAACTTTATAACCCCCCCTTTAAAAAAATCATTCTTTAGAGCTTGGGGTGTGGTGAGATGGTACAGCACTTGCCTACCATGTGCAAAGGCCTGGGTTTGATCCTCAGAACCATAACACACATACACATACCCACCCCACAGCTTATATATTTGCTTATTGTTAAATACAGCTACTATGTTGGAGAACTACTAGCACTCTTAATTTGTTGAAATGTTTGAAAGAATATTAGATGGAAACTGTTCATGCTTATATGTGGATGAAGGTTTTTCTCCCTATTACTAGGGAAAAGTGGGAGTTTTTGTCAAAAAAAAAAACCCAAAACCTTGGCTATCTTTTTATTGTGTTGTCTTTGAAGAATAAGCACTAGTACAACAAAACTCTTGTTTTATGCATATAACCTAATTTGGACAAGATTCTTAATAGCAGCAATCTAAAGTATTTCACCCAAAAGGAAAAGACTGTTCACTCTAAACATTCTATCAGAAGAACTATTTCTTTTCTTTTCTAAGCTAAGCTGCTCTCAGTATTTGTGGGTCCAGAGACATTTAGAAGCCAGTGGACCAGCAATCCTCTAGTGAGTGAATAAACCAAGTTTTTAAGAAATGACAGATTATGAACCAGCCACTGGTAGCTCACTCCTATAATTCAAACTACTCAAGAGGCTGAGATCTGAGGATTTCTGTTCAAAGACATCCTGAGTAGGAAAGTCTGTTAGACAGTATTTTCCCCCCAGTCAGCCACCAAACAACTGGAAGTGGAGCTGTGGGTCAAAGTGGCAGAGCACTAGCCTTGAGCACCAATGCTCAGGTCCAGCACCCAAGCCCAGCATCCAAACCCCAAGACCAACAACAACAACAAAGGATGTATGCTTTAAAATTTTTCATCAGCAAACTGGCCTCGATGAGGAAACCTAGATGGTGCTAATAGTGAACCAGGATGAACTTTAGCAAAACTCAAGATCATAGGGGAAACCCTGAGATAGCCTAGAGAGAGAGAGAGAGATAGAGAGAGAGAGAGAGAGAATGAGAGAGTATGTGTGTGTGTGTGTGTGTGTGTGTGAACTTAAGAGTGTGTTTGTATGTGTATGGGGGGGAGAGAGAAATGAGGGCTTTCAGTAAAGGAAAGGGGTTTCACTTTGAAAGGTACAATTCTACCTGTTATTTCTTTCCATCACCGTGTGTTAAAGGTTGATGACAGCTTGTTCTAAGAAAGACTTCATGTCACACTACAAATTTTCTCTCCATTCTCATAATTTATCACTGTTTCTCCCTCAAAAGCATCTGTAAGTGTAATCTGGACTAAATGTTTTAAAGAGATAAATGTGAAACTAGCAAGAAAATGAATTCAAACACATGAAAACATTCATCAGTTATGATTCATGTCAAAATCAACCACGGGTTCTTCTTTAGAATACTTATTTAAGTATGATGGTTTGAAGACCTAAACATATGAATTGAAATCCACCTGTTTTAAGTTTAAAAAAAAAAAACCACAAACCAAATGTGAACAACAGTGAAAGGAAAAAATAAATCACCTTCAAATCAAATGTCTTCAGACTAGATTTCAAAAGGTTATTTCATTTTCACACAAACAGCTAATTTCTGCAACTGTAAGCCATCAAAGGTTTAGGAAGCTTCATAACCATTTCAGCAATGAGTACAACTCAATTGCTACCACACCAGGTGGGAGGATTCTGAGTATCAGAAGGCTACCTAGTTCTATTCAGTCACACTCATTCCCCAATGTGAGCACACAGCATGCAGTGTGTCATTTCCTAAAAATCAGCACTCAATAGAATTTCAAGACAAATTAAGCCTTCGAACACTTAGAACATTATTTATCTCTAGCAAAAAAAATAATTATGCAAGCAAAATGACTTTTTTTTTTTTGGTCGTGGGACTTGAACTCTGGGCTTGGGCGCTGTCCTTGTGGCCTTCAGCTCAAGGTGAGTGCTCTACCACTTGAGCCACAGCACCACTTCCGGTTTTCTAGTAGTTTATTGGAGATAAGAGTCTCACGAACTTTCCTGCCTGGGCTGGCTTTGAACCGCAATCCTCAGATCTCAGCCTCCTGAGTAGCTAGGATTACAGGCGTGAGCCACCGACGTCCGGCAGCAAAATGACTTTTGAATATGTACTGAGTAACATCAAATGTCAGTCAGCCCAAAATACTGCATTTTAACCTGCTCCAAATAGTAGTTTTCATACAAGGAAATACCTAGCCGTAGAATTTACATTGTTTCATTTTCTAATCATCTCATTGTATACATATTATACAGCTATTTAAAATATTCTAACTAGTCAAGCAAGGATAAAGAAAAAAAACCTTCTATTATCTTGTACCATATGAAATTGCTGTTTTGCGTGTCAAAATTAAAACACTATTTATAAAAACAAAGTAAGTTTTATTCAACCAAAATGGACACCAATTCTTTCAATAAGGTATTAAATACCTAACCTGTACAAAAGGTATCATTTTGTTAGCCTGTATAAATTGTTCAAACTGTCCAGTTACTGCTTAATTGGGGAATGTGTTGTTTTTTAGGAAGAAGCCACAAATGACAAAAAAGTTGGTTGTCCCCTGGAAGATGTGACGTTTTGCAACCTGAGTCAATTAACTGTGGATTACAACGTGTAAATTGAGGTTTGTCAGTCAAAAATTGTTTTTTGGTGGTACTGGGATTTGAATGCACGGACCTAATGCTCTACCATGCCCACTACCAGCCCATTTTTCTGTGGTTATTTTTCATACTTACTTTTGCCCAGGACAGCCTTGGATCATGACCCTCCTACTTACCTCCTCTCTGCCATGTAGTTGGGATCACAGGTACGTACCATAACACCTAGCCTGGTTTAGAAGGCCTTACTAAGTTTTGTTGTTGTTATTTCCGAAGTAGCTGAGATTATAGGCATGAGTCACTGCTAAGCCCAATAGTTATTTCAAAGTCAAATTTTTCATGTACAATTAAAATTTCCTGACAATACTGTATATAGCTCCTGCTATCACCTACCCAGATTGAAACTGTAGTATGTCTCCCTTGCGGATCACCAGTCTTCAGAATTTTCTAGAAGGAAATGATAATGGTGGAGCTTCAACATCCAGCCATGGTATAAATCGCTATCACTTGTCACACTGTGTGTTTTCACTTTCTTTTGATCACAGGTATGATCTGCTCCCAAAAAAAATGTGCTTTTGCTGTTGCAAACCTTAATTTTCATTCCTCCAACTGTCTTTTTTGTAAGCATTGTATTCCAAGGTCCATTTCCACATTGGGCCCAGTCACAGCAGATACTCATAAGCCTGAAGTAAGGCCTCCATTTGGTGTTCCTAAGTTGGTCATCACCTTGCATCTTAACTGGTCTCTGCTTCAAGTGGATTTTAAGCTTTCCTGAAGCTCATTTTGCAAGCTCAGATCCCAGAACAAGATTTTCAAACCACAACTGAGAGTTGCTTTTATCTGGCTAGCAGATCCTCTACAGTCAAGTGATGCCTCCACCTTTCTCATCTGCAGAATGTCATGCTTAAAAGTTATGTGAAAGAACATGTTCACAATTCTCCTGGAGATACTACGGTATTCTTAATAACCCTGGAAAATAAAATAACTGAATGCTCAAAGAAAACGGAGGGCCTAATTCTATCCTTCTAAACAGTACAACTGGAACCATACTATAGACCAACTTTGCTAACTGCAGTCATTTCTCAGCTGATCTAATATTAGCAATTTCAAACGGTACAATCCATAAGTTAATTATCAAATACTGAGAAGCTCCTAAATGCTAAAATTCGTCTCTTTATCTATACAGATATCCTGGGAAGACTGACCGAAAAATGCGAAATTCATTCATGTCAAAGTCTCTTATTGAGAAGGAATCTGGTGCCACACACTATTGTTTTTTGAGAATCTATTACAATGGATGCTTTCCCCACGTTATAGCTACATATGCTGTTTGGAACACATGTGAAGTGGATCCTTAAAAAACTTTTTGAACTAAATGTTTAACGTGAAATGGCCAAGGTTTGGCACTGAATCATGTTATTTTTCAATGATTCCAATTTTTCATATTATTTTGAAGCTTCAAGAGGCTTTTATGTTTATGATAAATAACAACTAACATTTAGGCATCAATGTCTGCAAAGCACCCATACATACAGTATTCTCATTGAAGAGAGCAAATAAAGACAATACAAAGTATGCACTAGCAATGAAGTAGAATATTAGGAAGAACTTAAAGGTAACCAAGTGTCTTTGTGTGCATTTAAAAAAATAATGTAAAGTATTTCAATCCTGTGTCACCGAGCCTCTGGAATACACAGGGGGAACCCACTTCAGTTCTGCCTGTGATTAAGCATCACTGCCCACCGCAGGAGGGCCGAAAGTTTCTCTGGTGCGCGTTAACTGCACATCCTTGTCAGCCATGCAGGTATCACAGCCCCACACTGCCGATGCTTCCGCAGTAAGGAGGCCATATGCTGTCTCAGTCATCCCCGTGCAGATGCGGTGGAACCACTTCTGACAGGAGGCCTCACAGAGGATGGCATCCTGATCGTCATTCACTTCATTTGTGCAAATTCCACAGGGATACACAGGGTCAGAAGACGAATGGCCATGGCGGCTGTGGTGGAGGGAGGATTTATTGCTTTTCTCGGCACTGCACACCTCAGCTGCACCTCTGGGGGGCCGTGGCTTATTCTGTGTCCCATTTGCATGGCTGTTGTTTGTGGCTTCAGTGCTACTTGAACGGCTGTTCTCCGGATTGACTACATTGTTTCGGGTAACATTTTTCAATTCAATATTACTCTGACTCCCCGTGTCATCCATATTTAAGTGAGGTGGAAGAGTGGAGGAATGTTGACTTGTGCTTTTGGTGGCTCCTTGGGGAAAGTCTTGTTTCGGAGGTGGTGCTTTTGCTTGACCAAAAGTGTTTGGAGGTGGGATAAAAGAATGATTTGATTCTAATGAAGAGGTAAAATTTGAGTTATTTCCAGGGACAAAATTAGATGCCAAATCAGGGTTGGATACTTGCCCAACATTCTGTGGAGGAATCTGACTGAAGTTTTCAGTAGGATTTTGTCTAAAGTGTTGATTGGGTATATTAACATTTTGACTTAGCACATTATTATAAGATGGATTTCCAAAACTTGGATTATCATGTGGCCCAAAGTTAAAAGCATGAGGTCGATTAAAACCCATGCCCAAAGGATTCTGAGGAAATGGGTGTGGCTGATTCCTGAGTGAGTAAGGGCCACAGTAGGGAGAAGACATTCTTGGGGGGACGTGTGGTGGCATTCTGAATGTGTTATAGCCTCCAAAGCCAGGATAACTGGGGCCAATATATGGATTTGATGAAGGTATTGGTTTATAGGAAATAGTATTATAGTTGTCATCAAATGGATTAGCAGCCACTAGATGGTCAGAGTTGGGATTTGGTGGTGGAGCATACTCAGACAGTGGAGGAAAAGAAGGTCCCTGAAAAGAGATACAAAGTAAAGCATAGGTTCTTGATCAAATAAGTCATTATGAGTGTCCCCTCTGTAAACCTATGAATCTGGCTTCAGTCAAACTGTTCCTACAATGTTATGACCACACAACTTCCTCACCTAACCTTTCAATCACAATTATTTATTTGTAATTATATTATACTTATTGATAAAACTATCTATGTTCCTTTCAGTTAAGGAATAAAGACAGGTGCTGGTGGCTGATGCCAGTAATCCTAGCTACTCAGGAGTATGAGATCTGAGGCTCATGGCTCGAAGCCAGCCTGGACTGGCTGGAGATAAGTTTCCAATGAATTACCAGAAAATCAGAAGTGGCGCAAAGTGGCAGAATGCTAGTCTTAAGGAAAGAGCTCAGGAGCAATGTTCAGGCCCTGAGTTCAAGCCCCATAACCACACACACACATAAAAGAAAGGGCAGTCGGGCAGGTGGGTAGGCAGTCGGGCAAGCAGGTGGGCAGGCAGGTGGGAAGGTAGGCAGGCAGGCAGGCAGGCAGGCTGGCTTTTTAGAGCTCAAACCCAATGACCAGTATTTAACTTTTAAAAGAAGCTTCATTGTCATTAATTTTCCTTAAGGATACCTATATATAAAATCATTCACTTAAAACAAGAAAGCAGTCTAATTAAAACTCCTTTTATACTCTCAAATAATCATAAAATTAAGTAACAATAAACAGGAGAAAAACTTTCCCCAGTAAACTTCAAGGAGCCACAATTAAAGAAAGTATCTTCAAAACATTAACAGGCCTGATAGCTGAAATCTAAACTGCTGGTTTTAGTCACACTGCAAGTTTAACAGATATTGGTCAAAAAGTAAAAAATAGGGCTGGCTGGGAATGTGGCTTTGTGGTAGAGTGCTTGCTAGCATACATAAATCCCTGGGTTGGATTCCTCAGTACCACGTAAATAGAAAAAAGCCGGAAGTGGTGCTGTGGCTCAAGTGGCAGTGTGCTAGCCTTGAGCAAAAGAAACTTGGAGGGGCTGGGAATGTGGCTCAGTAGTAGAGTGCTTGCCTGGCATGCATGAAGCCCTGTGTTTGATTCCTCAGTACCACATAAACAGAAAAAGTTGGAAGTGATGCTGTGGCTCAAGTGGTAGAAAGTTGGCCTTCAGCAAAAGAAGTTCAGGGACAGTGCCCAAGCCCTGAGTTTAAGCCCCAGGACTGGCAAAAAAAAAAAAAAAGTAAAAAAGGAAACAACAATTTCTAAGTAGAAAACATATCCACAGCTTTTATCACCAAAAGAGTGCTTCAGTTTATAGAATCTACATTAAATCTATAAACAGAACTACAAATATTTATATCTTTTAACAAACTCTAGATTTCAGAACCAGTATTTTAATTGGCACGCCCACACTTTCTCCTTGCACTATCCATAATCCACACACAGCCAGCAGTTATGTACAGACCACCAAACCTAACAACTGCTGCACAATCCATTATCAGGTTCTGAATGAAGAGAGGAAAGCAAACCCATTACCAAACTTCAATTTCCCTTAGCAAAAGAAAATCGTTACCAAAGAAAATACCAATTTACCTGTGTATTTGCCTTGCGTTTTTTCTTATCTGGACTTCCTAGTTGTAGACCTGGTCCTCCTAACCCATCCAGTCCACTATCACCACCTAGAAAGAAAAAAATAATCCTCATGTATCTACCTGTAAGTATAACAATTTGTAGATCTCATAGCAATATCTATTTTGTTTTTGTGCCAGTACTCAGGGACTGCATATTGTTCTTAGCTTTTCTGCGCAAGGCTAATGCTCTATCATTTGAACCACAGCGCTGCTTCTGGCTTTCTGGTGATTAATTGGGAGATAAGAGATTCATGAACTTTCCTGCCTAGGTTGATTTTGAACCTTGATTCTCAGATTTCAGTCTCCCGAGTAGCTAGAATGAAAGGTATAAGCCACCAGCGCGTGGCCAGCAATATCTATTATAACCTATGTACTAGCGATGTTGCTGGTTTTTGTCAAATACCCAACATGAACAATTTAAGGGAGGGAAGATTTATTTTGGCTCACAGTTTCACAGGGTGCAGTTTATGGTTGCTTGGCCCCATGTGATTGGGCAAAGGATGTGAAGGAAGAGCTTCTTTATCTCATGAGAGACAGAAAGTAGAGGACGGGAGAGCGATTAGGAACCAGGTGAAACCTTCACAGGCATTGTCATTCCCTACCCCAGCCCCACCTACTCCACCCAGCTCAGCCCTACCTACTGAATCTTCCAAAGCTCCTCACTAGTTGAAACATTCAACACATGAGCCAGTCTGTGGGGATACTTCACATTCAAACCTAACATCTATTATTGTTTCCTATTTTTGTCAGATAAAAATAGTCAAAAAGCCTGTCATACAGTTTCATGCATCTGTTCCCTCCATATTATTCTTTCAGTTAAAAAAAAAAAAAATCAAGTCTCCTTTCTACTGTTTTGATTCGTTGAGTAAGTCTTGCTCCATACTCCAGGCTGACCTTCAGCTCATGATCCTGACTGTCCAAGGTATGCACACACACAAGGTAAGCAGTCACCCTAGAATTCCGACTATCAAACGAGTGATCAACTTTAGCTCTGATGATCCATTAGGGGATGCAAAACAAGGATAATTGCGTGTGCGCGCGCGGACGTGCGCGCACACACACAGCCAGTCTTGGGCTGAACTCAGGGCCTGGGCACTGGCCCTGAGCTTCTACTGCTCAAGACTAGCACTCTACCACTTGTGGATGCGGTACTGAGGAATCAAATGCAGGGCTTCATGCATTCGAGGCAAGCACTCTACCACTAAGCCACATTCCCAGCCCTGTCAAATATTTTTACATTTTCATTTATCTTATAAAGTATATCTAAAAACCATCTGGCTAGGTGCTGGTGTAATCTTAGCTGTTCAAGAGACTGCTATATGGACAATCTTAATCTAAAACCAGCCCATGTGGAAAACTAGAAGAGACTGCATATCCAATTAACTAGCAAAAAGCTGAGTGACTCCAGCAGTATAGTACCAGCCAGGAGCAAGCCAGCTTCTCAAGCAAGAGGCCCTGAGTTCAAATCTCAGTACTGCACACCCGAAACAAATACTTTCTTTTTTGTTTCTGCCCTTTGTTATTTCTATTCTACTGAGGAAACATACTTGCTGGAAAGTGCCACCAGTCTGTCATCCCCAGTGACACAGAGAAGCACAGGGCACAGGTGGGAATATCACAGCCCAAGCTAGCTAGGCATAAATTGAGATCTTACCTGGAAAATAAACAATGAAAAAGGGGGCTGGAGGCATGACTCAACTGGTAGAGCACTTGCCTGTCAGGTTCAATCTCCAGGATTTTGAAAAAAAGAAGAGATTTTTTTCCCCCCTAAATGCAGTGAAAAACCAATGAATAATTTTATGGAAGAGGCCACTGGAATACAGTGGCTGGAATGTTGGGCCCAACAACTTCAGTTATTTGTTACTAACTAGCTGAACAAATTTTAATGTTGCTTAACTTCCACGAGGTAAAGAAGAAATGGGTGAAACTCCTCCTCAGCCAATGATTGGGCAGGATAGCATGAGCCTTCATGTAAGTTTAGAATAATAACATCTAATTTAGAGGGTTCCTGAGAGAATTGAGCCAAATGATCCATATAAACCACTTGGCAACACACTAGGTGAGCACTCCATAGATAGTAGTTACTTAATACTAGCAGAGGCTAGGTGAGTGGATTAAGGACATTGGGGAAGCCAAGAAACAAGGAAGGGGCTGTTGTAATGATCAAAGAGATAGGCAAACCCAACCTGAACAACTGATTGTGGAAAGGCAAAGGGTTCAAGTTATTGTAACAACAGATCTTCTAGGATATTGTGTGGGAAGGAACAGTAACTTTGGGCCACTAGATAATGATCATGTTCATTAAGATATGGAATACTGGGGGTTGGGAATGTGGCTTAGCGGGTAGAGTGCTTGACTGGCATGTATGAAGCCCTGGGTTCAATTCCTCAGTACCACACAAACAGAAAAAGCTGGAAGTGGCACTGTGGCTCAAATGGTAGAGTGCTAGCCTTGAACAAAAGAAGGTCAGGGACAGGGCCCAGGCCCTGAGTTCAAGCCCCAGGACTGAAGAAAAAAAAAAAAAAAGGTATGGAATACTGGCGAGAGAATTCCCATCTCACAATATTTCATTCAATATGCCAAAAGCAAAATTCATTTGTGTATTCCTCCTAAATCTACCCTTTCATATGTGCGTGTGACACTATTCTAATGGCTTTTCTCCTACCTGAGAAATCTAGTATATTCTCCCTTTCAAGATCCTTCTTTTTCCATCTGTTTCCCAAATGTTAGTGTTTCCAAAGCTTGTGGGTCTTAATGCTTTTCTGTTCTCATGGTTCATTCCCTCCATGGTGAGTTCATGTGTTCCCAAGACATTAATTAGTATTCACTTGTTTACTGACGATTTTCAGCTCTATTTATGGCTCAATAGGTAGCTTCAGTTCCAAACTATGTAAGCATATCCCTTGGAATATCCTGGAGTATATATTGATTCAAGGTTTGATTCCAAACTTACTTCCCTGATAATTTGCCTAGTTCTTGAACCAATTTTAAAAACAAAAATAGAAACAGAAACCTTTCCTTTACACTTTGTCTCACAAGCTGTTCCTCCCCTATTCTGTAACTACACAACCTTTAAAGCCTCTCCAATCTTTATGACATTTCTCTCATAAATATACTAAAAAGTGGAGAGCTGAGGATTACAGTTTGAAGTCAGCCAGGGCAAAAAAATTTGTTGAAACTTTTATCTCTAAATAAGCAGCAAAAAGCCACAAGTGGAGCTGTGACTCAAATGGCCTTGAGTGAAAAAGCTAAGGGACATCAACCTAGATCCTGAGTTCAAGCACCAAGACCAACATACACACACATAAAGGTAGAATGAGGAACAGGGACAATCAGAATGCAACATAAAGAAATAAATGAACAAAAGAATAAGCAATTTTTTCTTTTCTTTTCTTTTCTTTTTTCTGTCGGTCGTGGGGCTTGAATTCTGGGCCTGGGCGCTGTCCCTGAGCTCTTTAGCTCAAGGTGAGTGCTCTACCACTTGAGCCCAGCACCACTTCCCGCTTTTCCTGTTTATGTAGTGCTGAGGAATCGAACCCAGGGCTTCATGAATGTGAGGCAAGCACTCTACCACTGAGCCACCTTCCCAGCCCTGGAATGTGTCTTATAATCACCAAGAGCTCAGGTTTTGGGGGTAGATTAACTAGTAGATAATATAAAATACTATGCAATTTGAATTAAATACCAGGACAAGATCAAGACCACAAACCAGCTTCTTCTGGTCCATGTACGCCTGCAATGTAAGTTTTCAAATAAATCTGCATAAAGAACATCTGGGGACCTCACTAAAAATGCAGAGAAATGTCCTAGCAATCCTAATTCTGAGGGCCAGGATTCTATTTTAATGTCACAGGTGGACTCTGATGCTTTTGTTTTACAGAGCACACTATGACAAAATCTCCCATCATAAATTTGTCAAATCTAACTTCTACTTAGTTTCTTTTTTTTTTTCTTTTTGTCAGTTGTGGAGCTTGAACTCAAGGCCTGAGCTCTGTCCCTGAGCTATTTTACTAAAGGCTAGCACTTGAACCATAGTTTCACTTCCGGTTTTCTAGTGGTTAATTGGAGACAAGAGTCTTAAGGACTTTCCTGACCAGGCTGGATTCTAACCGTGATCCTCAGATCTTAGCCTCCTGAGTAGCTAGGATTACAGGCATGAGCCACCAGTACCTAACTTAAATTAAGTTCTTAATGATTCATTTAAATTGGAAATGTGTATCTTTATCTTTAGTGTGTGTGTATATACATATACACATATATATGGAATCTGTATCTTATCCTTGTCTTAGCAAATGAATTTGGTATTAATACACATGAAATAAATATACAACCATTCTTAATGTCTATCTGTATACAGAAGTGGATGAGAAAGAATTTGGGAAGAACTGTTCAAGAGTTAATGTGCTAGGGCTGGAGACATGGCTCAAGTTCAAACCCCAGTACCACCACCTATAAAAATAAAAAGGAGGGCTGGGAAGGTGGCTCAGTGGTAGAGCGCTTGCCTTGCATGCCTGAGGCCCTGGGTTCGATTCCTCAGCACCACATAAACAGAAAAAGCCGGAAGTGGCGCTGTGGTTCAAGTTGTAGAGCACTAGCCTTGAGCTGAAGAGCTGAGGGACAGTGCCCAGGCCCAGAGTTCAGGCCCCATGACCGGACAAAAAAATAAAAAAATAAAAAAATAAAAAGGAGCATATGCCCTAAAAACACTGCATAATACAAACACTAACAAAAGTTCCAGGACAGTGAATTTCAGCAGAATTGTGCTTCAGAAAAGCTGACAATGACATTCTAGTAGCTTTTGTGGGTTATAAAATAATCCAAAAATGCCTTTTACATTTATATATTATTAGAAAATGACCTATAAAACCTTATGAGATGAAAATACTGACTTGATGAAAATACTGACATTTCCTTACTTCTGGCACTTTACTCACAGAATATTCTTTTTTTTTTAGTTGTGGGGCTTGAATTCTGGGCCTGGGTGCTGGCCCTGAGCTCTTCAGTTCAAGGCTATCACTCTACCACTTGAGCCACAGTACCACTTCCTGTTTTCTGGTGGCTAATTGGAAATTAAGAGTCTCATGGACTTTTCCGCCCCAGATGGCTTTGAACTATGATCCTCAGATCTAAGCCTCCTGAGTAGCTAGGATTACAGGTGTGAGCTATGGACGCCCGGCTCACAGAATATTCTTTTTTTTTTTTTTTTGGTCGGTCGTGGGGCTTGAACTCTGGGCCTGGGCGCTGTCCCTCAGCTCTTCAGCTCAAGGCGAGCACTCTACCACTTGAGCTACAGCGCCACTTCCGGTTTTGTGGTGGTTTATTGGAGATAGGAGTCTCACAGTCTCTCCTCCCTGGCTGGCTTTGAACTGCGATCCTCAGATCTCAGCCTCCTGAGTAGCTAGGATTACAGGCGTGAGCCACCAGCGCCCGGCTCACAGAATATTCTTGAGTTAACACCTAGCCAAGTTGTAACACGTAAAGTGTCAGACTTTCAAGCAGCTATTGGAACAAAATGAACACACATCCATGTTCTTGATCCTCAACAAATACTCATCCATTACACTTAGAATTATATTTAAGACTACTAATTACAGCCAAATGCTAGTGGCTCATGCCTGTAATCCTAGCTACTCAGGAGGTTGAGATCTGAGGCCTGTAGTTCAAAGCCAGCCTGAGACAGGAAAGTCTGTGAGATTCTTTTTTTTTTTTTTTTTGGGTCCGGTCGTGGGGCCTGAACTCTGGGCCTGGGCGCTGTCCCTCAGCTCTTCAGCTCAAGGCTAGCGCTCTACCACTTGAGCCACAGCGCCACTTCCGGCTTTTTTCTTTTTGCTTATGTGGTGCTGAGGAACGAACCCAGGGCCTCATGCATGCAAAGCAAGCACTCTACCACTGAGCCACCTTCCCAGCCCTCTGTGAGATTCTTATCTCCAGTTAACTACCAAAACACTACAAGTGGATCTGTGCTCCAATGGTAGGTAGCCCAGGCCCTGGGTTTAAGCCCCCAGTACCGTTATACACACACACCAAGACTGATGATTAAGTTCAAAGCTAGAAATCTGATGGTTTTCTTTTTCTTTTGTCAGTGGCGGGGCTTGAACTCTGGGCCTGGGTGCTGCCCCTCAGCTCTTCGGTGCAAGGTTTATGCTCTACCACTTGAGCCACAGCGCCACTTCCGGCTTTTTTCTGCTTATGTGGTGTTGAGGAATCGAACCCAGGGCCTCATGCATGCAAGGCAAGCGCTCTACCACAGAGCCACCTTCCCAGCCCCAGCTTTCGTTTTCTTTAGCCACAAAGCACTTTATAATGATACACCAAAAATGTCAGGAGAAATATCCTATCTATCTCAGAAAGTTCTATTCCTTAAAGGCTTTGGCAGCACATAACCACAAACAGAAAAAGGTTAAAATAATTCATCAAATGAAAGGCTAGGCTGACACTAAACCTTTTAAAAAACTGTTCTGCCCTAAATTACTTTTTGTTTAAATGACTAAGAAAATAAATTCCTACGTACTCTTTGAGGCAATGTCTTTCGGATACTAGATTATCAGTGTGTCACAAGCCAGTTCTATATATGTTTAATCTGTAATCATACAGACCAGAAACATCAATGAGTGACTGCAGCCCTTGATCTCAGTATCACCTAAATGGAGATTTTTTTCTACTAAATTAATTATGAAGTATTTTAAGCACACATCCCTTTTTTGTTCTTTGCCTTATTAATATCCAAGCCAGGACCTTGTGCAAGCTTGGTGTGTGTGTGTGTGTACACCCCATTTTGGATGAAAGAGCAACTGCAATAGATTCCTAGTCTCATTGATTTAGCCTTTATTCTCTACGGTCTACGTTTTACACAGCAGTCACAGAAACCCTACTAAAAATGTCACCTCAATCACTGTTTTGTGCAAAACTGTACAGTCCCTTTGTCAGAGTTAAAGTCTTAAATGGCACACAAGGTCTCCCAACACACAGCCACCCCAACCTTCAGCCCATCTCTTGTGACTCTTCCCTTGCTCATTTTGCTCCTTAAAACAACTTCTTTGTAGTTGCCGGAATACAGTGGGCATGCATAGATATGGATGTGGACGGATAATGGATGGATGGATATGTAGATAGCTAGGTAGACAGACGAACCCAGACCCACGGCCTTTGCAATTGCTGCTGATTTGCCAAGATTGACGTCTTCCTAAAACATAACCTTATGTATAATCCCTGTCCCCCTATCTGTTTTCCTGATTTATTGTTACCACAACACCTACATCTTGCCATTTATACCTTTCCTTTATCCTAAGTTTACCCCCACAAGATTGTGAACTCGTTCTGGATACAGATTGGTTTTATATTCACTGCTGGAACCAAGGAGTGCCAAGAACAGTGCCCAGGACATAGTAGATGCTCAATAAATAGCTGCTTAATGACCCAGCGGTAACATTCCAACTTCAGGACTTCCCAGCTTTAAATCCACTGAAGTGAAAAAGCACCCCCATCTTTGCAGATGGCATTTGGGCTTTTTGCAGTTGCATGCAGTATCTTTTGTCTAGTTCATCGCTCGCTCTGACTCTTCTTGGCAAAGACAGCAGTAACAACAGTACTCACTAGTCTGCTAGGAACAAAACGGATGATGTATAAAAGCCATTTTCGGTGATTCGGTTTTTAAACATAAATGAATGCAGAAGGCACCTTTTGGATGAATCTGATTTCTTTCTCTCCTTCACCCTAAGGAAAACAAACTATGTGATGCTTTTTTTGGGGTGGAGGAAGGGGGGGGGGAAGCAGGGGTCCAGGAGAGTCTCACAAAACCTGCACACCTTGAAAAGCATAAACTCTCGTGCCATGCAACTTACTTTTCTGGGGGGTACTGGGGGGGGTGCATGGATGGAGGTCCTGAACCGGGGGGGGGGGCACCCACACACACACACCCCGCTTCCCTCCATTGTGCCGCGTCTGGGGGAAGGGGGTGAGGCGGCGGGAGGTGGGAAGGATGCGGGAGGGCGGCACACAAAGTCGGGGTGACCCGGGAGGCGGGCGGTGCAGAGTTAGGCCGTGGACGGAGCCCCGGGGCCTCCAGGCACGCGTAGCCCGGATCCACAACTCCCCCCCCCCCCCCGTCCCCCGCCGCCCCGCGCCCGGATCCCGCGTCCCCCGGTACCTCGGACTCTCTTCAGCGCGATGGGGTCCTTGTCCTGTTCCGCGGACATCACCGACCGCGGCGCATGGCTCCCAGGCCGCGGGAATCCGGTCTCCACGCTGCGGCGGCGGCGGCGGCGGCGGCTCCTCCCCGACCCCGGCCCCGGGCCCCGCCGCCTCCTGCGGCTCCTCCGCCTGGCGGGGCCGCGGCGCGGGGCTCAGCCCCGGCGGCCGGGGAAGGCGGCGGCGACGCGGCTGACTTTGCAAAGTTTGGGAGGAGGCCGAGGCCCGGCGGCGGCGGCGGCCTTGGGGGGCGGGGGGTGTGCGGGGGCCGGCGGGGCGCGCGCGGGACCCCGGGCCGCGGACCCCGGGCGGGGAGGCGGGCGGCGCCCTCACGACCCCCCCCCCCCCTCGAGGACGAGGAGCGGGAGCGGGAGCCCGGCCCGCCGCCGCCGCCGCCGCCGCCGCCGCTCCCGGTCGCAGACACAAAGCCCCCGGCCGGGAAGCCGCCGCCAGCACCCGCTCCGGGGCGGGCGGGCGGGCGACGGACGTGGCGCGGCCCCGCGCGAGGACGGGCTCGGGGAGGGGAGGGAGAAGCGGAGGCCCGGGGGGAGGGGGGGCGGGGGGGAGGGGGCCGCGGCCTCGACCCGCCCCCCGCCGCCCCCGCCCCCGCCGCGTGCTCCGCCTCGGCCACACCCCCCGCGGCCCCGGCGCGCGCCCCCACCCCTCACCCCCCACCCCCCACCCCCCACCCCCCACCCCTCACCCCTCACCCGCCGCCACTTGACAGCCGCACCCCGCGGCGCTCGCCCCCGGGCCGCGCGCCTCCCTCCGGCCTTTCCCGCGCTCCGCCGAGCTCCGCGACGCCGCCACCCGACGCCCCGGCTCGGGGCCTCCACGACGCCACGCGGGAGTCCCCACGCTCAGCCTCCGCGACGCCCCCTCCACACACACACACACACACACACACACACACACACACGGACGGGGCTCCCCGCCCCCCCTCACCCCGTCTCCCCCACGTCCGGCCCCCCCACGCCCCGGCCCCCCCACGCCCCATCCCCGCGTGGCCTCGGCCGGGTCGCCAGCCTGGGTCTGGCAGCGAGCGAAGCCTTGCCAGCGGGCCCCGGCCCCCCCCCCACCGGACACCCCCACCTCCCTGGGCCGGACGCCTGCTTGTGCGGTACCCCGACTTAACAGGAGACACTGGGGTGAGTTGGGGACCCCTCGGGGGCGAGGCTGGGGGGGCACCCTGCTCCTCTGCAGCAGGCGGTGGGGATGGGGGGGGGGGCTCCGTCTGTGGCAAGGCCTTAAGCTCCCATGGTCTTGGGCCTGGGTTGGGGGTGCGGGGCGTGGGGGGTGGGGGAGAAGGAAGGTTTGCTAGATATCCTACAGCGGAGTCTGTAATCCTCCGTTCCCTAAAACGTGGCTGATGTCCACGTCCCCATCACTGACAAAAGCTTGCTCTCCAAGCCTGCCAGAACACGGGAAGAACCAAAGCGGAAGTCTCCGTCCTCCCTGGAGCTGAACACAGAGCCCCCTGAACCAGCCAGGCCAGGGTGAACCAAGCGGCCTGCACGGGCAGGCCCAGCAGCAAGACACAGCCTGCTTTAGAAGACACAACGCAGCCTGGCCAAGAGGCCGATGTCATCCTGTGCCCAAGATCTGAGGGTAGGGGGTGGCGTTCCTCACTAGAAGACGCTGGGTCAGCACGGAGCAAGGCTGGTAACAGGAGGTACATAGCCAAAGGCTCCCACAGACTGGGACGGAAGCCCCGATGGCAGGCAGGAGTTCTGCACACCACTGTGTCCTTACCGCAGTCCCACATACTAAGTGTTCAAAAAATACTTGGTGACTAAGTGTGTGACGAAATGGACTGGAAGTGGGCCTGGGACAACTGGACCGGCAGAGCTGTGGCGTGATAATGCCCCTGGTAATATGATGAAAGGAAAGTGTTCAGGACAAATGGTAATATGATAAAAGCAAAAGTGGATCCAATGCCCTTCCCTCACAGGAGCTGATGAGCGTAGAAGACGCGCAAAGCACTCTGAAAACACCAGTCAATATGGAAACTTTTTTTTTATTATTATTACATAACCCTAGGGAAAGGAGACTTGTTGAGGAAGGTCATTGCTAAGAGATTGTAATTCTCCACACACACCCCTTTCCTGGTACTGAACATTGAACCCAAGAAATTTGGATTTTATCCTGAAAACTGGGGAAACAATAAAGACTTTAAGCAGGTGAATGCCATGCATAGGTCTGCATTTTAGGAATACTGTCCTGGCTATAAAGTGAAAGATGGATTGGAGAGGCACCAAACAGTGCCAAGCTAGGCTTGGTATAGCATGCCTGTAGTCTCAACTGCTTGGGAGGCTGAGGTAGAAAGATCACCTGAGCTTATAAATTCAAATCCAGTGAAGCAACAGCAACAAAAAGTGTTCCTACTGCATTCATGCTGCTGTGACAATGGTATTATTTATAAAGAAGATAAATGTATTTCCCACAGTTCTGGTGACTAGCAAATCCAAGATGAAGTCACGAGCAGCTAGTAAGGGCTGCCTCCTGCTTTCCAAGTTGCACTGTGAATGCGGACTCCTGGGAAGAAGCAGTCGGGGTAGAAAGGTAAAAGATACTGGGAAAAGAAAGCAGGAAGACTGGGAGTTCCAGGCCAGCCTGGCTATAATAGTGAGATCCTATCTTAAAAAACAAAAACCAGGGGCTGGGAAGGTGGCTCAGTGGTAGAGCGCTTGCCTTGCATGCATGAGGCCCTGGGTTCGATTCCCCAGCACCACATAAGCAAAAAGAAAAAGGCCGGAAGTGGTGCTGTGGCTGAAGTGGTAGAGTGCTAGCCTTGAGCTGAGGCCCAGAGTTCAGGCCCCACGACCGGACCCAAAAAAACCCAGAAAGGCAAAGACAAAAAGAAAGGCAAACTCCCTCCACCCTCCTTGCAAAGATGTCTAATTCTATTCATGCTGTTGTAGTCCTGGTGGTCATCTCATGAAGGTCCAACCTCCTAATGCTATCACCTGAATTTTGAAGGAGACGTATTGAAAGCAGAGCAATTGAGAAATGATACACATACACAAAAAGAGGAGAATGTCAGCGGGGTGAGGACTTTGTAAAAGTAGTACAGACTGTTAACATGGTAAGGGTTCAAACATGGAAGACATTTACCCACAGCCTTGGTTTAGATGACCCAGAACAGAGGAAGAACTTTCGGTTGGGATGAGCTATGTTGAGTCTGAAGTGAGGAATCTAGCAGACAGATATATTGTTGTTTTTTTTTTTTTTTTTGGTCCAGTTGTGGGGCTGAACTCTGGGCCTGGCCGCTGTCCCTCAGCTCTTCAGCTCAAGGCTAATGCTCTACCACTTGAGCCACAGCGCCACTTCTGGCTTTTTTCTTTTTGCTTATGTGGTGCTGAGGAATCGAACTCAGGGCCTCATGCATGCAAGGCAAGCGCTCTACCACTGAGCCACCTTCCCAGCCCCAGACAGATACATTGATACAACCCATAATACCCCAGGTTACACACTCCAGTGCAAGGAATTCTGTTAGCAATCATGAGTGAACTGTTTATCACTTATCTAATCAGTTATAATTTTGTGATGCAATAACCCAATATTTGATAGCTTTCAAAACAATAAAAACCAGTCACTTACTTGTAGTAGTTCTGTGGCTAGACCATTTGTGCGGGGTCAGCAGGAAAAGCTGTGCTGCTTCAGCATGACATTATAGTGATGACTAGGTATTCTCCAGGATCCGTGGGGGACAGTGGCCTTGCGTGGCTGGTGGCTGGCAGGTTGGTAAATGGGCCATCTGTTAGCATCCAGCCGGCTAGTATGACCTCCTTCATCTAAGTAGTAGTTTCTAGATTTCCAAGAATGCCAAGAGAAGGTTAAGTCCTTACATGCAAACATTTGTCAACCTTGTTTAAATCTCATTTTGTCAATCCCATTTTCAGTGTGGAAGTTGGCTTATCCAAAAATTTGGATACAAAGAAGGCAGAGCAAATGCCTGCAACCATCTATCATGTGTGTCCTTTTCTGACATTCCTGAGGATGGGAGAGAGAAACAGGAACACATGGTACTCTTAAAAAAGAAAAAAAAAAAACACAAAACAAAACAAAAAACCAAAATTCTCTTTTCTCCCTCATGGCATCTGTCATGTTCTTCTACTCTTGTTCATCTTGGAAATGTCAGAGTCCTACGAAAATTCATCAGTATGCCTCAACGCTGCTATTGCTAGCCAGATGCCAGATACAGTACAAACCTGCTCCAGTACCAATTTCTATATGTCAAAGGAAATCTGAAGTCTCCTCTTGAAGCCTGGCCCCGGGGCCATGCAGAAGTGGAAAGAGTGACTTCCTCCACATAACACCATTATACTTGTTTTTTTTTGTTGTTCTTTTTGGCAGTCCTGAAGCTTGAACTCAGCCTGGGCGCTGTCTCTGAGCCTCTTTGTGTTCAAGGCTAGCACTCTTGAGCCACAGCGCCACTTCCACCTTTTCTGATTAATTAACTGGAGATAGGAGTCTCACCAACGTTTCCTGCCTGGGCTGGCTTTGAACCTGCGATCCTCAGATCTCAACCTCCTGAGTAGCTAGGATTATAGGCGTGAGCCAGCAGGGCCTGGCAGCCCATTACACTTTTTTTTTTAAATTTTTTATTGTGAAAATACTGTACAGAGGTTACAATTACATGGGCAAGATAGTGAGTACATTTCTTATCAAGCATTGTAGCCTCCTCCTTTGTTTCCCCTTCCCATCCCTTCCCAGCCTCCCCCATCCACCCACCCAATCCCCCCCCCCCCCACCAAAGTTGTAAAGTTCATTTTTGACATGACAACTTGTACTTCACATTGTTGCAACAGGTCCAGCTGTATCCTTATTTAAACGACTTGTTTTTCCCCTTCCCCTCCACAAATTATACCGATATCAAATACAGTGAAAGCAGGGGTTATACTGTGGGGGAGGGACATACAAAGCAACAAAGAAATAACCTTATAAATGCGTTAGAAACAAACCATTACACTTTTTATGTCTTCAATATGATAGAATTCCTACCAAAAATATCCTTTTACCCTGCTGTAGTCTTACACACCTGACACAGCTGATCCTTACTCCATTTCTCTA